GGGGGGGGTGCATTTTGGATCCTTTGAGAAGTCTGGGTAGTGACCCAGAAGCCGACCATGATTTCCACAAGCTTCCATATCTAAAGAAAGACTTCCCAACGTAGATCTACAAGGGCTGCATCTTTCGCATTTGAGCCTCAACAGAGGATTTCAGGTTTCAAGAATCGCCATTTTGTCTTGTGAATGCATTTGGAGCTTGCTAAACACAGACCCCTGACAGGATCCACAAAAGAGAACCACCCGCGAGAGTCCCCGAGTTTCCCCAATGTAGTAATGGGGTCATCTTGGAACCTAAACCTTAGGGTTTAGGGTTTAGGGCTCAGGTCACTGGGCCATGCTGAGCCTTACGCACACGCAGAAGGAACTAACGGAGGTGAAGCAAGGTGACTTGCGAAAGTCTATCGCAGGGCCCCCAGCTGTACAGGCAGGTGCATGCAAGTGGTGGTGTGGACGTCTGAGGAGCTCGGCCTCAAGGTGCCAGGTGAGGCATTGGTGCCTTACCTTGACATGATGGCTGCCTGGCTGAAGCTGAAGCTGGACAAGGTGGCTCATAGTGCAAGAAACACATGCTGTAAGCATGAACTGACACTAGCTGGAGAGGCCAGAGTGGACAACGCTGCCACTACGGACAAGAAACCTAAGCTGGCAGCAAAGGCCTTGGCCAGGCCAAAGTGGCCAAAGCACGCCGCCTGGCCGAAGCAGAAAAGGCCCGCAAAGCCTTGAAGGCCTGAGAAGCGGCCCAGACCCAAGGGAAGTGTCAACATTGTGCATGCAGGCAAGAAAGAAGCAGAAGGCTGACGGGAAGGCAGCAGAGAAGAGGAAACGTGCGGAGTGGAAAGATGCTCCAGACGCAGAAGCGGAGGCGACGTCTCTTTCTTGTGACAGCTGCTAAGGCACTTCTGTTTGCAGGCCAAGCAGAAGCTTCGACTTGTGCGAGAAAAGGAGAAGCTACGAAAGCGCGAGCAGCGCAAGAAACAAAGCGCGGCAAAAGAGAAAGCCCGCAAAAGGGCGGAGGCCAGGCAGGTCTCACTTGACACCTGCTGCTCAGAGTTGCTTGACAGGTTCGAATGAACTTCCAAAAAAAAAATGGAGACCGCGGGAAGTAACGGAGGAGGCCAGGTATTGCATCGAAGAACGAGGCGGGGAACAGTGCAGAGGGTGTAGACCGTAGCTACACAAACTTGCCCAGGAGTTCTGGCCCCTGACCATGGATGACGAGGATGAGGCCGAAGGAACCCTGTGTTTCGTGTTGCCTGGCGCGTGTGTTTGTGTGTGCAGGAAGAGGCTTTTCAGCGAGCCCTTCGTGAGTCTCGACATAATCTTGAGCACGATCCGAAGCATGAGCCACAGTTGGCAGACTGAGAATGGCTGCAATGTGACGTCGGCGTGTGCTAGGAGTGGCTCCAGCAGTGCCAATGGGTACAGCGAACCTCCGCGCATGTGACAACTGCTGACAAAAGCGCAAACTCATGCTAGCGAGGTAAGGAACAACAATGGCTCCACCCGTGGCTTAAGGTAAGGTAGGGGCCTCCAGAATGATATTCAATTTTTGGCTGCCATAATCCAAGTAACAACTAAAATTTGGAACTTTTTGTGGGGTTCTGAGGCCAGCTTAGTAAAACCCAGAAGACTAGTAGCTTCTACTTTTCATCACTCCTGTATAACACCTGTTGAACCCCTTTACAGGAACCTGATAGGTGTCTGAGAAGTAAGAGAGCACTCAGCAGCCATCTCCAGGTAGTCGCCTGGCGTATCCCCAGACTCAGAGCCACCCGTGACCCTGAAAGTAGACCCTTGGGTCTAGGGTTAAGCTTTAGGGACCCTGAAAGTAGACCCTGGAACCCTGAGCCCTGCACCTGGGTCTTGTTGAAAATTGGGGCTTAGGGTTTAGGGTATATTAAAACCCAAAAGGAAACGTGTAGTTCAGTTCTGGAAATCCCAATGCAGAACCCTGAGCTGTAAACGTTAAGTCTGCCCAGGTAGTCACCTGGGGTAGCGAAGGTGGTGGAGGTGACAGTTCGTCGGTCAAGGAGCGCCTACAGATTCCCAGCTTGCACTTTGCTCATGGGAGTTTGGGGGTGGATTTAGAGTTTAGGGCTTAGGCACTGAAAGAATGGAATATGAGGATTCTATAAATACTACTAGGGCGGTTTAGGGTTCCTTGGTGTCAGAATCCGCTCGTCTGTCAAAAGTTCAGCGGGAACCAAACAATCAGAAACTGGCTGCAGAAGGTTTGCAACAATCCTACCCAGACCCCCTAACGCATGAAATTGAACGTATAAGGATGTGTACACCCAACCTTAAACCGTATACGGTTTAGGATTTAGGGTTCAGCGTTTAGGGATTTGGCCTTAGAATTGTTGAGTTTTTTGTGAGAAACACCCGGACCATGTTGACGTCCTACGCAGACTCCCAAAGCATCCCAAACGTGGAACCCTCGAAAATGACCCATTACTATATTGGGGAAAATATGCGAGGCAACCCTAAACCCTAAACCCTCCCCTCCCCTAAACCCTCCCCTCCCCCCCACTTTTTTGTATGCCTGTTGGGAGATCCATTCATACCTAGAGTTTAGGGCTTAGGGGCTTACGGTTTAGGGGTTAGGGTTTGGGGATTAGGGGTTCAGGTTTCACAGGCTAGGGTTTAGGGATTAGGGGTTTAGGGGTTTAGACTTTTGGGTTTCTGGGGTTGACATATTGTTTAGGACCATAAGGTTGATAGCTATTCAGGCTTCTACAACCCTCCAAATGACCGCAATGCTACATTGGCAAACATGGCCCTGGGAAGGATCCACAAATAGCACGTTGTTTACTCCCCGAGATTCCCCAACGCATTTTCTTCGGGTTCCATTTCAGATCCTTTGGGGGTCTGGCGGGCTACCTTGGGCAAACTAGGGGATGAATCAGAGGTTCGACCTTTGTTGTTTGGGGTTTAATGTTACATTAGGGTTTAAGTTGGGTATTGCCCCCTTCAGTAACAGTGGGATAATAATCATAATAGGGTTATATATAACCCTTAATAGGAC